TCTCCAGGTCATTGCAAACCCAGCTATGTTTCTAATGACTGCATCCCCCGGTACTAACAACTATCTTCTTAATAACTGGAATTCCCTCCCCTGGAGAGATATCCTCAGTGCAAAAGGATATCACAACATCATCTGGAAGGAGGGTCCCAACTATGTGATCATTTCCCTTTGCTCCAATAAGATGTTCTCCTTCCCTGAGCCTTTCACCTTCCTCAACAGCACAGAGGCTATCTGATGGCATTGAACCATTCTGCTGTATCCAAGAATATCTCATCTACTTCCCTTATCTCTTCTAATTCAGCCACCCTGGTCTCGAAAGTCCATATACATGGTCTCTGAGACCAGGAGCTCCTTGTACAAAATGCACAAATATGCCATCTGTTCATTGGGCAGGTAATCATACATGCCATATTGGGTGCAATAAACTGGACAGCCCTATTCTACTGTGGGGCTTCTGCTTGCAATCTCTTTTTACTCCTAGAGATAATTAGTTTGATCAAGTGGATCTAGCTCCCTTCAAACATTCTTTCTAAACTCCCTCATGAAACTTTCCTGTGAGCTGCCCCTGTTCGCTAAACTCCTCTGGTCACTTAGGAGAAGGTTTTTTAAAGCCTTGGCCTTCCTGAGTAGCCCTGCCCCCAGGTTAACTTTTGATGGCTGTAAAAGGGATTAAGTACCAAAACCTCATTAAGAAGCTCTCAGCCTTGCCTAACAAGCTCCTAGCCTCAGCACGGGGTCCTTCAAACAAACAAGCTCAGCACATGGACCACCAAACAAACAAACAAGTTCAGCACACAGTATCTTTCAAGCAACCAACAAGTAAACTCCAAACACAAACACACGCACTAGAGACAACCACTTGCCCCAAGGATCACGTAATCATTCCTTCTTCAGCTGGAGATACACCCTCATGATACACCTAATCCGTCTCTGTTATGTCTTCATTTAGGTCTGAATCAAAAAGATCTCTTCTCTTAAACCAGGGTGGATAAAAATCAATTATTTTTAAAAAAATTGATTTTTTAAATAAAATGCTTTTTGAGGAAAAAAAACCTATCTAAAAATAGTTTTAACTAAGATACATTATAGCTCAAAGATTATGGAATAGGGATTATAAATTTTCGTTCTATAGTACGAGACAATATATTCATATAATGTTTAAATAAGTTATAAATGAGTTCCAAGAGTTCATGGATTAGGTACCCAATTTTATGGGGTTCCAGAGACTTCTGTATAGATTATTTAGGTTAATCTTTCTATCTACTCAATGGGATTCAGTGCTCAGTCTAGAAGATACTATGGGTATGTCTACACTACAGAGTTAGTTCGAACTAACTTAGTTCGAATTAGTTAATTCGAACTAAGCTAATTTGAACTAACGCGTCTAGAACTAAAAACTAGTTCGAATTAGCGTTTTGCTAATTCGAACTAGCATGTCCACATTGAGTGGACCCTGAACAGGGCTTAAGGATGGCCGGAAGCAGTGCCGGCAGGGCATCAGAGGAGGACTTAGAGCGTGGAGATGCTGTCTCAGGCTAGCCGAGGGCTGCGCTTAAAGGGTCCCGACCCCCACCCCGGACACACAGTTCTAAGGGGTGCCCCTCTTGCAAAGAAGTTCTGGCTTGGAGTGCCCTGAGTGCCCACACTGGGCACATCACACCACTCGGCCATCAGCCCAGCTGCACTTGCCGCAGGCTGCCATCTGGGGAGAGGGGGCAATTGGGGGGCTGCAGGAGAGCTTCCACCCCCAGAAGCCCGCAGAGCCAGCCCAGTCCTCCCCATCGGGGGCACGTACCCCATTCCTCCCTCACCTCCTTCCACTTACCCTTCCCTAGCCCCCCTTCTTATTGATGTACAAAATAAAGATAACGTTTCTTCCAACATTGACTCTGTCTTTATTGAACAAAACTGGGGGAGACTGGGAAAAGGAGGTGGGAGAGGGGAAGAGAAAGGCTGGGAGAGGGGAGGGCAACTAACATGATCAGGGGTTGGGAACAGGTCCCAGATGAAGAAAGGCTACAGAGACTGGGACTGTTCAGCTTAGAAAAGAGGAGACGGAGAGGGGACAGGATAGAGGTCTCTAAAAGCAGGGGTTGGGTGGAGAGGGTGCATTCAGAAAAGTTCTTCCTGAGTTCCCATAAAGAAGGACTAGAGGACACCAAAGGAAAGGAATGGGTAGCAGGCTTGAAACTAGTAAGAGAAAGTTGTTGTTCTTGACAAAGCAAATAGTTAACCTGTGGAACTCCTTGCTGCAGGAGGCTGTGAAGGCTACAACTAGAACAGAGTTGAAAGGGAAGTGAGATCAAGTCATGGAGGTTGGGTCCATGGAGTCCTATTAGCCAGAGGGTAGGAGTGGTGTCCCTGCCCAAAGTTTGTGGAAGGCTGGAGAGGGATGGCACGAGACAAATGGATTGGTCACTGTCTTCAGTCCATCCCCTCCGGGGTCCCTAGGGTTGGCCTCTGTCGGCAGACAGGCTACTGGGCTAGATGGACCTTTGGTCTGACCCAGGACGGCCATTGTAAGCTCAGGGCTCAGTGTCGGGGGTCTCAGTGGACCCCCTTGATTTTCATGCACACCTGGTCCTGGGTGGCCAGGCTGGCAGCTCTCCTGCCCTAGACGGCCACTTTCCTGTGCCTAGTGCGGAGATCGTGGACGAGGTCCACGATGTCTGCACTAGCCCAGGAAGGTGCCCACCTCTTGCGGTCCTGGGCAAGCTCCCGGGAGCTGCCAGCCACGGGCACCGTAGCCAGCCCATGCCCCTTTAAGGGGTCCGGGGCCGGGAGGGGGGCATAGAGTTTCCCTGGTGGTGGCCACCAGGGAAACCTGGGGAGGGCTAGCCTCCCAGTAGTTCGAATTAAGGGGCTACACACCCCTTAATTCGAACTAGTAAATTTGAACTAGGCTTAATCCTCGTAAAATGAGGTTTTCCTAGTTCGAACTAAGCGCTCCGCTAGTTCGATTTAAATTCGAACTAGCGGAGCGCTAGTGTAGCGCCTATGAATGTTAGTTCAAACTAACGTATGTTAGTTCTAACTAACATTGTAGTGTAGACATACCCTATCAGAGTTGCTTAGTTCTTAGTTCTCAAACTGTGGATTTGTGTCTCCAGAAATAACATGCTTGTTAACAGCACCAATGTTTTAAATAAATAAATACATAAATAATAGACAGAAGTGAGTAATAACAGACCTCAACCCTGTTGTCCCTCTGCAAATTTATGTATACAGAGTCAATACCTTACTTCTGCCAGAGTGGGCAGGGAGCTCCTACAACTCCTACGAGTTAACTGGAACTGGTAAGCCTTGCCCATTAAGGGTGCGTCTACACAGCAGTTATTTCACAATAACAGCCGTTATTTCAAAATAACGTCTGTTATTTCAAAATAACAATGCGAGCGTCTACACAGCAATTCCGTTATTTTGAAATAATTTTGAAATAACAGACGTCTTATTTTAAAATCTGTAAACCTCATTGCACAAGGAATAACGCTTATTCCTAAATAGCTATTTCAGAACCGTAGCAGTATGGATACTCCACTGCTGCTATTTCAAAATAGCTCCTCCCCAGGGCCAATCAAAGTAATTATTCTCGAGTGCCTCCTAGGGATCTAAATTGAGGTTGCATGCCTACATTAGGGAAGCCTGCCTCAGACTAATTTTGAGGCTTCCCTGTAGTATAGACGTGCGATTTTGAAATAAGCTATTCCAGAAAAAAATCTGAAATATGTTATTTTGAAATAAGCATGTGGTGTAGATGTACCCTAAAGGGGAAGCTTACCAGTTAATCCTTTGCATCTATAATTGTCATATGCTCGCCATCTTGCATCACTATGCCTTGATACAGCAAAATCAATGTCATTACTCACACACTTAAAGTGTATTGTAGAATCGGGGACTATGGTCTTTGGCACATTAAGTTTCAATCTGATAAATACAATTCATAGCAACATCTTGCTATATGCATTAATTCGATTTAACCTAAATATTTTTTTTCATTTTCTAAATCCAATTTTTTAAATAGTCCCTACTGCTTCAAGGTATATCATCTCTGTACCTACCTTTTGAATTAAATTTCCCAAGCCTATAATTCCTTTGATATGTCTATATTGCCTTAAAGTTATGACTCATGAGAGAGCAGCCAGTTTGATTATGATTTCAGATTTGGGTTCAATTCCTGGCACAAGCATCCTGTGTGACCTTAGACAAGATACTTTCTGTCCATCAGTTCTCCATTTGTAAAATTGAGATAATAATTCCCTGATTCACAAGCACATTATTTCTTAGAGGCTGCAATCATGCTGGCAATTTAAGTACCCAGACGAATAGACAGAGTGCCTCTATTAAAATATCAAACCATGAAAGTAATGAGGAAGGGGAGAATTTATGTGAAGTCCTTTGTTAAAATACTAGTGGTATATTACTGCTCCACAGTCTACCATTTTACAGTACTTTAAGAAAAGATACTTTTGAATATAGTACAACATTGAAAGTCTTCAAAATACTCAAAAATAAACTCTTCACATTATTAGCCATTTCAGATTGAAGAGAATCACACACTATTTTAGTTTTCATTTGAAACTTACTTTGTAGAAACATTAGAAAGCTCACTAGTAGATTAATTTCCTTTTCAGGAAAGCCTGTGCAAGCTCTCCCACAAAGATTTTTGTTTGCTGACATCTTGGTAGAATTTGTATTTTCAAGGCTCTGGATTTTAAATTTCGCATTGTATGCACAGTACCATAATACAAAATTTTGGCTATTTTAAATCTGCAAAAACTAATGCTTGTTTTCATTATGCAGTAAGTACTTTTTGTTTCTACATATGACACTATGCTGGACATGACCCAAAGCCTATAGTGCTAGTCCTCAGTAAAAATGTAAGCAGCTGTGGTCATGTAATTTAAAACCTCTGAAAAGTTTGCTGCAGTGGTTGTACTACATTAGTGTACCATGAGTGCTGGATGCAGCCAGTCATGGAAAGGATTCCCTTCCTCATAGAATGAAAGAGAGAAGTGAAATGCAAACCTGAATGCAACCTGAAAGGTCCAAATAGATGAGCTTGTGACATCCTTTCCCAGATCCCAGGTACTGTAAACCTTTGTCTGTGAATTTTCTGCAGTAAGCTAAACTCAGATATTGTAAATTGGAGAAGCTCCTTTACAAAAGACAGGGAGAAAAAACAGTTACTACAACAATAGGCTACAGAACACAGATTTTAAAGGATACCATAGCTAACATCTCTCTAAAAATTCTGTGGAGATACTACATTTTAACTTCAGATTCTTTCCTCATTGAAATTTAAGAGTGCAGTTTTCCTTGTTTCGGGTATTGTAAACTGTTTGGAAATAGTACTATGGTACAATAATATATTATATAATCCACAATTATATTCAAATAAATATTAATTTAAGGATAAATGACTTAACTGCAAAAGCACACATTTTTGTATTAAGCTGAGACTGGATGTGTATATTTTGGAAGCCAATAGACCTGTGAGGGCAAGGTTACATTATTTACTTTGCCACTGATTTATAAGCTGTTTCTGTTGGAAATGAAAACCAGAACTCTATCAAAGGATGTTAAAAGCATACAGGGATTAAACATGCTGTTAAACCTTCTGTGGTCATGTAATTGTTTCCATTAACATTTTAAAGGCAAGGTATTAAAACAAATTTAAAGTGGAAAGAGATACAAAACTAATGTATACACATATACCAATTCCATCTTATATAAATGAAGTTTAAATCTGTTATTTTAAAGGATATTAGATAATGGAACACTGGCAAACATGGAAACTGTTAAATGTATTGTATGAATTTGTACTCTTTAAATCTATTCAAGTTTTTATTATGCAAATTTAGGCATATAATATATCAAAGACTCTAAATTATACTGAACTAAATTTCTTATTGAAATAAGCAAGTATTGCAATACCATAATTATCAGAAATGAAATGTTACAGAAAAATCAAAACATATAATTAGGATTAGTGCATACTGCTTTGTAAGAGATTTAGATTTAGGGACCTACTCAGACCAGTTTTGCAAATCAGCAAAAACTAAGCATTTTGAAGGGAGACAGGAATTCCTATTATGAAGCTGATTACTTAAAGAGTGGTTCACAGCATTTTTGTGGGAATTTACTTTATGCTTTGAATGTATATTGAGAAGACATGTTTTCAAAACAAACTGGGCAGAGAAGAGGGGGATATGAAGTTGGAAAGCAACAGGGAAATGATTATGTAACTGCTGAAAAATGTTTAAATACATGCTAAGATTAAATTTCATACTCCGAAAAAAAGTAAATAAAATATGCAATCAAAAAGAGACGATAGTAACAAGTTCTGGGACATTTTAAATGGAAGATTTTTTTTGTATTTAATGAAGAAATGGAAGCACTGCCAAGTAAACCAAAGTACAGATGTTTAATTTAGGGCATAGATTTACAGCTGCCTGTGTGCTGAATCCTATTTTATGGCTGAATTTTACATAGATCCTACAATCTTGGTTTTTGTGACTCTGATTCAATCATTTGGCATCAAGAACTTAATACTGTACAGTGATTTTTAAAACAATTTAGTTATCCATAGTTATTCTTGACATACAGGCTTCCTGTTTATTGCATGGGCTGTATTATAAATGGAATAGAGGAGAAATACCAAGTTGTAATTCTATCTTATCACAACATCTTAAATCAACTGTATAACTCAGAGGCTGAATTCTCTTGATAGAATGAAAGAGTGGAAGAGGAACACATGAAATGGCCAAACAGCTTCCAGCTCATCAAGAATGCAGTCTTCCATGTTTTTTTCAATAATGAACCCTTGATATTGAGCAGCAAAATATAAGTGAAGCATTGCAAGGTTATTTCCACTGCTAAAAAGCATTTGTTAGCTATATTGTCTTAGAGAACTTTCCAAACAAAGTATCTGTGGAAAGATGCCATCTTTTGAGCAATCCTAGAAACACTGCTGAAATGTGCTTATCAAAAGCCTCGCACTGCTAATCTCAAAGGGTTTGACTACACAGCAGGGTTAAACTCAAAATAAGCTATGCAACCTGAGCTATGTCAATTGTATAGCTTAAGTCAAAGTAGCTTATTTTGAATTTGGGCACATCTACATAGCACTTATTTTGAAATAGAACACTCTTCCTCTGACATCCCTCGATCCTCATAAAATGAGGCTTACAGAAGTCGGAGTAAGAAGTCCTCTGGCTGGACAGTATCAGAGGGGTAGCCGTGTTAGTCTGAATCTGCAAAAGCGGTGAGGAGTCCTGTGGCACCTTATAGACTAACTGTTAAGTATTGGAGCACAAGCTTTCGTGGGCAAAGACCCACTTCGTCAGATGCATGAAATAATGTCTGGCTGGACATTATTTCAACTTTATGTCAAAATAACTGCTTGTGTGTAGACACACACTTTATTTCGAAATAACATCAGCAGGGCTCACCAAGTGGCGGCGAGCCCCACTCGCCAGGTGCGCTGTTCTGGGCTCCGCGCATGTGCAGATGGTTCTGCGCATGCACAGATCACTCTGTGCCGGCTCTTCCGGGTTGTAATCTACTCGCCATCGGCGAGTAGATTACATTATTTGTCGAGCCCTGAACATCAGTTATTCCAAAATAACAGTGCTGTGTAGACATACCCAGAAGGAACTATAATGTTGATTTATGTCCATATGTCTTCAGCAAAAAGTGTTGCAGGTGGCAGTTTTCATTCAGAATCATAATTTGCTACTGACATTTTTCATATTTTTTTTTTAGGAAAAAAACAGTGTAAGCAAGACAATAGAAAACCACTAATAAAACTTTCATATTTTATTGACCCAAACAAAGGGGACATTTTATCTTATTTGTAAATTTTGTTTTTCACAATAGAGACATGCACTAATTTGATTTATCCTTTCTTGGGTAGGTCTTGCCCATACATTAACAGAAGTAGATGGCTCTAATTTTTTGGTAGTAACCAGAAGCTAGGATAGCCACTGCAACATAGGTTGGCAGGCATTCCAGAAAAGCCATTCCAAATTTAAACATGAAGAAATTGAAACTGAAAGGCAAAAATTATGCTAATAAGGAGAAAAAAACAGAGGCTTTCCTATAAATGATAGAAAGAATAACTCTGGTGCTGAGATGCAGGATGGAAGACTTATTGAAGAAAACCCAGAATCTGGCATTGGACTAGTACGTTCCCAAGGCATCACATTATACTGCAGGGAAAATCCAAAAATCCAAAATGTAGTATTTGAACAGCAGAGAAAATTATACTCCAGGAATATGTGGGCTGCTGTGAAAAATCAAAATTTTGTTTTCCTCAATAAGGAAAGAAGTAGTGTACACATATGATGTGGCAGTTCTATTGGAATAACTCAAACTTTCTTTCTTTGCTTCTTGTGATAAGTGGATTGGACCAACCTAGCAGTCAGCCCTCCAATTTGGTAGATCAACACACATCTCCAACAATAGGAATGGATGTTTATCTATTACAACACAGTTCACCTGTATGGTGTGAATTCTTTGGCCTAGTCTTCTCTAGGACTTTGACATTGAATTTAGCCACATACGGTTGATTTTTTAAATGATGTGTCCACACTACCAAGCTTGTCACGTCAATCTTAAGGGCCACTGAAGTCGATTTCAGTATTTCTGCTTTTCACAACGAGTAATGCTATTCCTGACCTTTCATGGTTGAGTTTACGGTAGTACAAAGGATTGGCAAAATTCAAGGATATTGGCCTCCTGGAGGCCTCCCACAGTTCCCCACTCTGACCAGAACTTGCACCTCTACTGCTCTCTAGGGATGTGTCTAGACTACCTAGTTTTGTCGACAAAAGTGGACTTTTGTCGACAAAACTATACCAGCGTCTACACTACACTACATAACGTCGACAGAACTCAGCAGTTTTGTCGACACTGGTATACCTCATTTTACGAGGCATAACACCTTCTGTCGACAGAACTCTGTCGACAGAAGGTGTTATTGCCTGTAACGTTGCGTCCAGACTACGGAGTTCTGTCGACAAAGCAACTTACTTTGTCGACAGAACTCAATGTGTCTGGACGCTTTTTGTCGACGGAAGTCTAGACGTACCCTAGGTGAGCAGAAAAAGCCCCAGGAAAATTTGAACTGCATTTGCCATCTGGTCCTCATTGCGAGCACATCTCAGAACAAGCAGAACATCATGCCACACATGGCGATGACTTCAACCAATGCAAACACAGCAATGAGTTTCAATAGTTCTGCTCGAATGGGTTCCAGGTCCCAGAGATGTAGAAGAGTACCAGCATGGAGTGTCTGGGAGATCTTGGACATCATCGAGTCATGGGGAGATTAATCTATTCTATCTGAGCTCCAAACTAGCAAGAGGAACGCAGACATTTACACAAAGATCTACAGCTTCCTGGTGACTAAAAGTTATTCCAGGGACACCCAGCAGCGCGGAGTAAAAACTGAGCTGAGGCAATCCTACCACAAGATGAAGGAGGCAAATGGACAGTCCTGTGCTACAAGCATCTAAGAGCAGCTGGATGCGATGGAGGCAGGAAGGGAGGGGAGTTCGGCCAATTTCCCCAGTTTGACTGTGGAGTCCAGCCAAAACATGGCTGGCATCAGCGTGGAGGACAGCATAGTAGCAGAGGAGAAGGAGGAGCATGGCCAGCCAGCAATCGCCAAGAACCAAGAGCTATTCATGATGCTAGAGCTAGTCCCCTCCTCCCAGGATTTCTCCCATTCGATCACTGACCCCGGAAAGGACACTTCCAAGTAAGTTGACAATTTTTTCTTACTACAAACAGGTTAAGGCAATTGGATGTGATGTGTGCAGGGGGCCCAGAACAGTTACTAATATGTCTAAAGATGGAGCGGGAGTCTTGCCTGTACAGCTCAATGAAGCTCTCAGGGTATGTCTACACTAGCTCGTTAATTCGAGCTAGGTAGGCAAATCAGGGAACCGAGGTTGCAAATGAAGCCCGGGATTTAAATATCGTGGGCTTTATTTGCATGTTCCCGGCCAGCCACCATTTTTAAATCCCCCTTAGTCCAAACGAACTGCCCGCGGCTACACGCGGCAGTTTAAAGTTAATCCGAACTAAGTCCTTAGTTCAGATTAACTGTTACTCCTCATGGAATATTTAAATCCCGGGCTTCATTTGCAA